AGAAGAAGAAGAAGAAGAAGAAGAAGAAGAAGAAGAAGAAGAAGAAGAAGAAGAAGAAGAAGAAGAAGAAGAAGAAGAAGAAGAAGAAGAAGAAGAAGAAGAAGAAGAAGAAGAAGAAGAAGAAGAAGAAGAAGAAGAAGAAGAAGAAGAAGAAGAAGAAGAAGAATAATAATAATAATATAGGAAATATTCTAAGGGTCTGAGGGTCATTTGGAAAAATCCTTTCTTAGTGAGCCCCTAGAAGCCAAAAGAAACATACGTGCCAAATTTCAAGTTTGTACGCTTGACAGTTTTGTGATGATGCATGAGTGGTATTTCGCTTTTATATATATATATAAATAATATAATATAATAGATATAGAGATACAGAATATAGATATATAGATATCCCTGTTTATCAGCTGTCCTATTATCCTTACGGTCAGCCAAGGCATTTACAAAAATTAATATGGCCTTTTTTAGGAATCAGCTTGTCTGGAATAGGTTTGGTGGCCACATAAATAAGTACAGTTGAGTGGATTAATCTTATCGATTGAAAAAAGGGTGCAACCTTGGATATTACATTGGACAATTGTTTGCATAGGGGGGTCTTGGATGTGCAACCATTTATTTAGGACCCTCCAAAAAAGAGTGAAAACTATACAAACAAATGCACCGATTTTGATTTTGCTTGGTTAAAACTTGGCCGTTTGATCTTCTAACCACCATTCTTGGCTTGTTTTGGTTCCGGCAGCTATCCCTGCACCGGAGAGTCCTGGCCAGTGTTTGAAGCTACGCATTTTGGTCTGTTGCAAAGCTACCACCAGTAAGTTTGGCCTGTTCCCCCCACCCGCAAGTTTGCGGGCGTCCACCATTTGTGAAATCAAACCGGGAGAACGGTCGTTAAAAGGAAACGTCCTGAAGTCGAAGACTGCCTCTGGGGCTTCCCTAAATGCACTGGCCGTCTGGGGATGATGGGGGTTGTGGTCTTATCGCCTTAGACGAGATGGCTGGACGTGGGGGAGGGTTCGAATCGGCGTAGATCCATTTTCTCAAGTTTGTTCGCTCTGCGGGGAGGGTTGGTGTCCCTTTTCTTGAGACTTTCTTGCATGGGGGAAAGGAGGGAAAGGAGACCACGGGGCGATCACTGCCTTCTTCCTGTTTCCTTTCTAGCTGCAGACCCCGCAACGGAGGGGCCCAAATCTCAGCCCCGAGGGAGAGGCGGTCCAGAGAGTGAGTTTTTTTGGGGGGGGGGTGAGGGGAACCTCCGTGGTTTAAAGGCAGAAAACCAAACGGCATATGCAGGGGTGGGCTTCGAATTTTTTAGCGCGGGGCTCTCTGCCCTAATAACTGGCTGGATGGTCATGTGACTGGGTGGGCGTGGCTAGGTGGTCATGTGACTGGGTGGGCGTGGCCAGCTCGACATCGCTTCTTTGCCCTAATTACCATAGATATATATATATATATATATATATATATATATATATATATATATACATATACATACATACATACATACACCAAAGTTGTTTATTATTTTGTGCATTTAATTTAATACTTAAATAAAAGACAAGGTGAAACCAGGCTTAATAGTAGTGACTCTGAGGGGGATCTTGGGAGTTTTAGTGGAGTTTCGGGTGAGTTAGGTGATTCTTAGGAAGGAAGGAAGGAAGGAAGGAGTGAGGGAGGGAAGAATCTAGGAAGGAATGGATTTGGGAATTAATAGCTAGTGGCTACGTGATCTGATTTTCTCCATGGGTCTCCCTTGCAAGCGCTGGGTGGGTTGTTTATCTAGCTTGGCACACTTTGACCAGGTGTTCAATGCTCTTGGCTGAACGCCCAGAAGTTCAATTAAGCCTATGAAGAGCTTTCCCAGGGCTGCAACAGCATGAAAAAAACACCCTTCCAACGGTCACAAAAGCGGGCTGTCGTAAATCAAAGACGACCTGAAATTCAATGCTCAATTTTTGGGGGGTGGGTGGGTGTTCCTATCTCTGCATTCACTCTTTCTTTCTCCTCCTCTCTTCTCCTCCCCCCTCCACCTAGAAGCAGTTGTCCTTCGTGCACACAGCCCTGCCCCGATCCGGCTTAGTGTCACCTGCCTGGCTCTTCTGGTGGTGCCCTTTTTCTGGCTCTGACTGGAGGGGATTTGGATCGCGTGCCTCCCCCAAGACTCGGGCCGGTTAGGGAGCGCTGACCCCCGCTGTTTATCCCCGCTCTGCGAAGATGCTGACCGATCGCTTGGCACTTTAGATTTTGCCGAAGACCGACCCCGCCCCCTCCTCAATTCCCCTTCAATTGACCACAAAGCTGCTTTGGGGACGGATGGACAGATAGCGGTCCCAAATCCCGAAGGAAGACCTCCTTAAACCCGGATGATCCTCTCCGCTCCCATTCCCACGCCGGAGGATCTTCGAGGAGAGCGTAAGTCTTGGGATAAAAGGGCATGGATGAATGAGGGGGGGTCCTTGGAGGTCATTTAGTCCAACCCCAGAGGTGGAGGCGGGACCAGCTTCCCTAACAGGTGGGTGTTTGTTTCTTACCGAGGCCCAAATGAAACCTTTGGAGAGTCTCTGTTCCCTAGCAACGAGGAGAGGGGAAAATATTGGGTTGATGATGGCAGTGAGAATGAAGTGCAAGGGGTTGGACTAGAAGACCTCTGAGGTCCCTTCCAGCTCTGTTATTCTTTCCTTCCTTCCTTCCTTCCTTCCTTCCTCCCTTCCTTCCTTCCTTCCTTCCTTCCTCCCTCCCTCCCTCCCTTGGTTCTTCCTTCCTTCCTTCCTTCCTTCCTTCCTTCCTTCCTTCCTTCCTTCCTTTCTTCCTTGATTCTTCCTTCCTTCCTCCCTTCCTCCCTAGGTTCCTCTCTCCTTCCTTCCTTCCTTCCTTCCTTCCTTCCTTCCTTCCTAGGTTCCTCCCTCCTTCCTTCCTTCCTTCCTTCCTTCCTTCCTTCCTTC